TCTATGGTGCAGAACGTATTCAGAGGGTTCTTCGATATGTTTCAAGTGTTTGTAAACTGTTGGTAGATGTTTAGGTTGCCTCAATGGAGATAAGAATAGAGGTAACGCTACGCACTCGACAGTTTCGGTTTAGTTCGTCTGTAGCTTCTTTTCCATCGAGATATGAGTTCCAAACGAGAATTATCAATCGAAAAACGTTCCAGTATTCTGACCTTCGCAGAAAAAAATCGATTTTAGTTACTGTTGCAGATACTTGAATAACTTTCATGCAACGCGAATGCATATTTCGCTGGTGTCCGGATACTTAATAGTGTATATTAAATAATCTTATTGTACTGATAAATCTGTCGATATAATATGATCCTGTCAGAATAAAAAATTATGTTGCAAAAATTATGTTTCGTAAAAGCTGAAGTTTCAGAGCTGAAAGCTTATGTTTCACAGTCGTCGAGGAATACGATTTTTGTCAGAGAATATAGAGTTTTGAAGGTGTACCTCAAAGATGTAGGAAGTGTTTTAAATTGATAAATTCCAACATCTTAAATTGTATTTCGTCAAATAACAAGTCATCACAGTTGAGTCATCGATTTTGATAAAACTTTTTGTCCAAATGTAGAACAAACACGAAACAATTCGTATTTGTTCTGTTTTTACAAGATTCATCAGTTGGAAAGATAACATTTAATTCGATTACAAGGAATACTGAATTACTGACTGATAAACAGCTGCGATAACAAAAGAGTGTTAGGCTTTCGAATTACTTAATCACAAGTTCAATACCCTGCTTACTTATTTATCTGCTATTACTCTTTTCTATTTTTATCGATTCTTTTTATAAATATATATATTTCTTTTTGTTGAAATAATTTAATGAATATTAAGTAATTTTTTGAATATTATTCGTTGTTTTCTGTAAGGGTGCTTAATTTACGAAACAGGTACTAAATATTAAAAAATCGAAAGAATATTAAGAAATATTAAGAATTGAATTTAAAATTAATATTACTGATATAAAACAAATAAATGTGGACGTGTATTCTAATTGATCAAGTTTTTCATATAAAGATTTGCATACGAATATCATTCACAAGAAAGTGACGCCATTAAACTTACAACATTTAACATCGATGCATTGAATCGCGTTGCAAGTTTTTCTGAAACTCGAATTTCTAGAAATGGAAACACGTGTTTCCAATAGATGTAGAAAGGTATAATGCCGTGAAGTGATAAAAATTGAGCAACGGAAGCTGTTTTTGTTCGCGAGTCTGTTACGAAAGAGGACCATTCACAGGTGGAACAGGTTGTAGACTGTCTGGCCGCACACAGGCGCCAGTAAACAGAGAAACATACACTGTGGATCGAAAGTTAGACACTATTTCATTCGTTGTTGCCAAGGATAATGGGATTAGGTTATTCGCGAACACGAATCAACGGCAATGTAAAATGTCGTGTAATAGAATTTTATTAGCGTTCATAAATTTTATTCGAATGTATTACTGTCGTTATTATGCGAAGGTACAGGTTTTCTTTGGGAATAAGAACATGTATGACAATATTTTTATTTTAAAATTTTTATATTTTTAGATGTTGCGATTTTCAAAGTTTCGTATTTATAAATTTCTTTATTTATAGATTTTTACGTTTGTACATTTTCAAATTTTTGAGTTTGCGAATTTTCGTATTTTTAAGTTTCTACATTTTCATATTTTTGAGTTTATGAATTTTCGTATTTTTGAATTTTCGTATTTTTAAGTTTTTAAGTTTCTACATTTTCATATTTTTGAGTTTATGAATTTTCGTATTTTTAAGTTTCTACATTTTCATATTTTTGAGTTTATGAATTTTCGTATTTTTAAGTTCCTACGTATTCAACTTTTCGTATTTTGCAAATTTTTGGTTTTTTTAGATTCTACGTTTTCATATCTTCAAATTTACAAATTTTCGTATTTCCAAATTTGTCCATTTTCAACTTTGTAATTTGCAAATTTTTGTATTCCTAAATTTCTACATTTTTAGCTTAGTAATTTGAGATTTTTGTCTTTTTAAATTTCTACATTTTCAGCTTAATAATTTACAAATTTAGATATTTCTAAATATCTTCATTTTCAACTTTGTAATTCACAAATTTCTATGTTTCTAAGTTTCTTTATTTTCAACTTTGTAACACATACATTTTTATATTTCTAAATTTCTTCATTTTCAACTTTGTATTTTACAAATTTTCACATTCTTAAATTTCTCAATTTTGAACTTTGTATTTTACAAATTTTTATATTTCTGAATTTCTACATTTTCAACTTTGTAATTCACAAATTTCTATGTTTGTAAGTTTCTTCATTTTCAACTTTGTATTTTACAAATTTTCACATTCTTAAATTTCTCAATTTTCAACTTTGTATTTTACAAATTTTTATATTTCTACATTTTCAGCATAGTAATTTGCAAATTTTCATATTTATAAATTTCTATATTTTCAACTTTGTAATTTACAAATTTTCGCATTGATAAATTTCTACATTTTCAACTTCATAAATTAAAAATTTTCAAATTCTAAAATTTCAATGTTTCTGATCCTCGAAGTCTTCAAACCACTCCATTTCCAAATATTGCATCTTCTCATTTTTACCAGTTACATTTTTACAATTTATAAATGTTACATAACAAAAACTCACCACATTCAATAGAAGTAGATTAAGAATAAACGTGCTATACCTATCACGATAAGAACTTAAACGTGAAACTCGCATTGCAAAGTCTTGCAACAAAGTTTTTCCTGATGTAATCGCACCGTAGTCAGGGTTTAACTTATTATTAACATCAATCTGCAAAAAATGTAGATAATATCAGGGTATTCGAACGAATGTTTTAAAAATGTTCGATTATTACCTGGCCATGCAACTTTGAAGCGTCTTATCTTGTAAAGCTATCGGATACATACATTTATTGTCAGCTGTTTTATAAGGTATAACCGGCTCCTTTATAGGGTATCAGAAAAGCTTGTCTACAAAATTACATGTGCTTCAACGATAACGTAATGCGATTCAATAGCGATGGGTAAAACCTGTTGTATAATTCGAAAGCTTTTATGAAGATTGCGTTGTTTAGGTTATGTAAAAATTGCATATTATTATGCTTAAAAATTCATAACATTTCTAAGGCATTTTAGAAATTTTATATTGTTTTAACTTTCGCAAATCTACAAATTTTTGTAAGTTTTGCAAATTTACAAATTTTTGTAAATTTACCATTTTTGCAAATTCGCTAATCTGCAAATTTATAATTTCATGCGTTACCAATTTTAAATATTCTTAAATTTTCTAGATTAGGAATTTAGAGATTTGGTGGCTTTGAAATTTAGAAATTATAAATTATTGAATTAACAAATTTACAAGTTTAAAAATTTATTTTATAATTTTTCCTGACAATATTTTCTAATAATATTCTTTGACAATATTTTCGAACAATATATTCTAATTTGTTCTCCTACATCCCTTCGCACATGGCTATATACCGAGACTTCGCAACAAAAATCAAGTTCAGTAGAATAAAAAGCAATGTCAACTAAATCCTCCCTAAAAAAATTTTCCAATAATTCTAATAAATTATAATAATATTTAAATTATAGTAAATCGTAATTTTTTGATTACAGAGAACGCCAATGCGCCCAATGATAGCGGAATACGACCCCAAGAAGCACGGCGTGAAAACAGAACTGTCAGACATGGTTCTTGTCAAGTAAGTGAGAAACTTGGTTTACGAAACCGACGCGAACGAACTGTTCAACGATAGTCGAGCAATTCACTATCTGCTACCACGACCAATCATCACCATTGCTTTCTTGCCAAACTCAAATGCTCCGTGCTCAAGCAAACGTGAGTGACATCCCGAGGATCATATACTGTGCATTATATCGTATATATGTGTATTCTCTCATTCTATGTGCTCTGTTACTGTTTCATATAGCGTAGATACATACATATATTCATTCCTAAATATGTATATATTTATGTATATCTCTGTTTATTGTTCATGTCACAATTAATTGCATACCGCCTGATCGCTGACGTAGAATTCGTAGTTTAGCTGGCACCAAGGATGCTTCAACATGTGACCGCTAAAATCTGACGATTTTATTATCGCTGGTTTGTGCAGAAACGTGCTTACATCTTTAGTCGATGTTATTTTATATTTCATGAATTTTTACCGCCTTTTATGTAACCCATTTGTACCAAATTTGTGGAAAACTTTAGTGCTCGCAGATTTGATGAACGTTGTGAAAATGGCGGATCTTATGATGTTCTCAATATGTCGGGGGTTTAACAGCATTCAAGAGGAGATGTGTAAAAACATTATTGTTCTTTTCCCACTTTTGAAGTTTGTTTGTATTTATTAACAAGTAAACTGAATAACTATTTATTAACTATTATTAACTCGTTTACATTTAATAAACTGAATTTGTTAATAACTAGTTTGTCTAATTTGTTATAACGTTGGGAGAAATTGGTTACATTTAAAGAATGTTATTCTTAAATACTAGCGATAATTGCTCTTTAGTATAAATAATTAAGATGTCCAAAGAATAATACCTTTATCATAAATTTGATGGGTATTATTATTATAATTTTAACGTGAGGGGTAATATTTATAAAAATTAATTGAAAATGTGTAAGTATGTTGAAGCACATAAATCTTAATGGCACAACGAATGTATCGTCTCGTACACGGTCGTTACACATATCATTCTTATTTCACATTAGAAAATAATTAAATCGTGCACTTATGGAATTAATAAAAAATGGAGTCGGGTAAACTAATGTTGAAAGAAAAAGTTGTTCTACGGTTTCAGTGAATTAACACTTTCCTGTATTAGCATGCCAGTAGATGGAACGAAAAATGATTTAGAAAGTGTCAGGGTCAATGAAATCATTAATAAACATAGGTATAAAAGATTGGTTACGATTTTTATGAAATCAATATTTAATCATTTTCAATATCTAACTTCACTGTCTTGCTTCTACAAAAATTTTATTTCTTTATTCTTTTCTGTAATTATTTATAAAATTATTTCCGCTTAATTATTTATAAAATTAATTATTACAAATTACTGTAAACACAGAATATATACCTCTTTAATATTTTTACTGTTATTATTGAAAACTTGTTTAAGGTATATGCAATGTTTTTTTATTTATCAAATAATATGGTGTAGACAGAAATTATATAGCAGGGACTTAACGAGCATCTATTGTATGATGAAGATTTTACTTATACTGATAGCAAATGTTAAGCTATAAAATTTATTATCAGTGTAAAAAATATAAAAGGAAAAAAATAAAATGCTACATAGTTAATAAAAATAAAATAAATTTCCTGGATAATTCTGTAATAAATTCATGAATATTTCTGCAGTAATGTTATAAAGAATTTCATAATAATCATATAAATAAATACAGTATAAAAATAGAGAACCTTTCTGAATTTCCATCAAGAAAATAAGATAGAAAGTAATTAACAAATTAACATTTAACTTTCTTTTCGTCAACAACAGTTTACTCGATTGCCACTGTAAATACAAATCATTTTCCTTGTTTCTGCACCATAGAGTAATAGAAAACAAATGAGAGGATACAATATACATAAATTATGCACAAAAAAGTCGATTTCCCGCACAAACGAGCGATTTTACAGATTGTCGACTTGGCGGCGAAATAACTCAATATTTTTGGATTCTTCGCGCACAAGATGGAGTGCCTCCTTACTGCACCTCTAAATAAAGAAACAAAAATAACTTCGTCGTAAATTCTTTTTTCTTTTGTGGGTTTAAAATAATACTTTTAACCTTTGTCGCATTCTTTTGTTTTGTAATAACCGTTCTATTATGTTCAACAGAATATAATTTTTTTACCAATAACTTGCCTTTTATTACAAAGCAAAATCGGATAAGAACGATTAAATAATTAGGAAGAAGATTTAAAGACCCATTCATTAAAAATTTTTAAATACAAGATGTATTTGATAATTAAGGTGGTGCATATAAAATGTCTATTTTTTTAAATAATATTTCAAGATCAAAAATATATATTATAATTTTTCAAATATACGACGTACCTAGGATTTGTTGCAATAAATTATTGAATTTTATTTCATGAGAAAAATTAAGAAAAATATTATGTAACGGTAAACTTGTACTTTTTTGCAAACTGTAAATGAAAAATAATTTAAAAATTAAATTTGAATGGACGTCGGAATTTGTTTTTTAAAAAAATTACAAAAATATTCTTTATATCACTGAAAAAGAATACCACTGTATTTTTTTGAATGAGAGTTTTCAAATTTTCTACTTGAAAAAAGTTGCTCAACATTTATCAGGAACAATTAACACTGTTGCATACACTGAAAAGAACAATTAAATTATTACATAACATTCTTGAAAATACTTCTACTTTCATTATTATAAATGTAGAAGAACATATCTACAATGCTAAAAGTACTCCATTTTCTTTTAGTTCACACGTGGACCGCTAGCGTCGCACGTTAAAATACTCCTAATAAGTATCTACCTAATTTCAATATAACGTTTTTGCCTACAAGGTCTATAAATATTAAATTATTTATCACTACAAAAAAAGTTTGATTTATGGTTAAATCGGCATTTAACATGCACCAACTTATTAAAAGTTATCACCTTTTTTCCGTTTTTAATTTAAATAAATCTCACTAACAGCGATAAGTATCGTAATATATACAATCGATAATTTTTTCCCGGAAAGTACGTACAGTTTTAATTGTCACTCGCGAGCGTAATTGCTCGATAATTTCGTGCTGGAAATAATTGCCTGGCAAGGTCGAGTCCCGATAATGCGTTTCGCGACGAAAAAAAAAAAGCGAACGATTTCCTATGATTTTGCGTAACAAGTAAATTACCATTCGATCGCCAAGTCATGCACGCAATTACCGATTCGATACCGAGTCGGAATGGATTCGTGATCGAAGGACGAGGTGCAGAAAGGAAGAGAATCCTCGCGGCGGTTTCCTCGTCATTGCCCGAGGATGTTTCGTAGAGGCGATGCGGTGTGCAAGCGAGAGAAAAGAAAACTATTTGTTCCTCTGAAGGATTATATAAAGATGAAATCTGTCTTTACTATATAATATGTGCATTTATATGATTCCAGACTTGCGTATAAACACTGCGGGCGTAGATTCGGGCTCTATGAAAAGTGCTCTGCGAGTAACGTGTGAAAGTGACGAAAACGATAACATAAAAATATGTGTGTTAAAAAGTTGAAAACGAACAAAACGAAAAATAAATCAAAATAAAAAGTACACGGTACCGTTCTAGAGAGAAAACGGCACGGTCTATCTGATGGACGATCGCGGGTTCAATAACGGTTAAAAACGGTTACATTGTACATTCACGCTCGATGAGCGACGGGATTTAAAGAAAAAACAATAAAAAAAAAATTATAAATAAAAAAATGTCTTAAAATTGAAGCGACCGGACAAACCGCGACGCAAACACCGGACGGACGGTCTAAAAAAGAACTACGGCGAAAATAAATAAAAACCGAAAGAAAACCGAGAAAGAGAAACGAGGATTTTTTTGGACGACCTCGTTTCCGAAGTTCTTAAAAAGCAACTAAAAATTTTGAGAAACACAATTGGCTATTGAATAAACGTGCGTTTTTAAAACGAAAGCAAACCTAAAACGAACAAAAAATAAAAACGCTTGGCGAGGAGTGCAAAATGTCGGAAAGCAAAGAAGGCTTGTTAGTCGTCGTACTGCGTCCTGGCGCTGGACGTCGCGGTGATGCAGTGCGGTGGTTGCAGCTGACTCTAAGCCTGATCGCGACGCGTGAACTCTTGTCACGTGTTACGTGACACACACAGACCTACTATTATTACTACTACTACTACTACTAGTACTACTACTACTGCTACTACTACTACTACTATATTTCGAAGCTTTCTCGACTATAAGAAAGTCTTCGCACGACTAGAGGAGAGAAACTACCGCACCTGAATGGGTACCTATATGCCTACACACCTACCTTTTTGCGATCTTAATTACACTATACCGTGCTAAGTAGTCGCTACACACACACCTGGTCGAGTAATACAGACGTCGAAACGAAATTTTTTAAACGAAACGTTCGAACGACCGATTGTCCATCTTATCTCGATATTTGTCCGTCCGATTACGCGAGATGCCGTGTTTGGTCTTCGAATTCGCCCTCTTTTGATGCGTGGAAAATTGTGCGTAATGGCGTGGACACATTTTTAGTTTCTTGAGACACGGTTTGCTAAGTTGGAGATCTTAATATTATTGCATTATAATAATTTTTTATATTATGTAGGTACATTATAATAATAGTTGATATTAATGTAGAGACATTACAATAACATATGATATTAACACTAAAACATCGCAATAATAGTTAATATTAATATTGCCACATCACAGTAATAGTGCTCAAAGTAATACAATAAAAGTATACTTATAATTACAGTAGCCACTCGATAATTCCCTACATTCGGGGCTCTGGAGGTGGACCTTAACCCTTACATAAATAACCAAGCATTCAGATACCCATTTCTAATGTTCCTTTTAATAATTTGTTACTTTCTAATACACACTTACTACTAATTTACAGTTTTAAAATATAAATATTTTAAATAAGAAAGCTCCAATTTTGTTTTCTATTTTGTTCACGAGGGTTAAACAGGAATATATCTAC